CTCCCTGCTCCCTGCTCCCTGCTCCCTGCTCCCTGCTTCCTGCTCCTCCTGCTCCCTGCTCCCTCTCCCTGCTCCCTCTCCCTCTCCCTCTCCCTGCTCCCTGCTCCCTCTCCCTCTCCCTGCTCCCTGCTCCCTGCTCCCTCTCCCTGCTCCCTGCTCCCTGCTCCCTGCTCCCTGCTCCCTGCTCCCTCTCCCTCTCTCTCTCCCTGCTCCCTCTCCCTGCTCCCTCTCCCTCTCCCTCTTCCCTCTCCTGCTCCTCCTGCACCTGCACCTGCACCTGCACCTGCTCCCTGCGCCTGCACCACCGACATTACCACCACCATTACAGTCAACAACAACTTGGACCTTACCGCCTACTGCTAACGCATACACAAAGTATTGAGCCAGTCACAAACTCAAAAGTTCTGAACTGAGTTAGTGTGTTGGGCCAGCTCTGTTCAGTAGTCAAAAACAACCGAACACATTCAAATGTGTCTTACTGACCCCTAACCTATTTACTGACGCTTCGATGTGCTTGGCAGGAGCATGAAGAGGATCCGGATGGCCTGTAAGGCCTGCAAGGACTCGAGGCTAAAATGTGACAATTTCCAACCTTGCATGCAGTGAGCAAGAGCACACCATAAAAAGTCACTCCTGCACCGTGGCACCCTCCTGATCAATTCTCTTGTGAATCTCCCGATGTCATCAGTTTGTCAGTGTTCATCTTGCAATTTTCGCTGTCAAAACTCTATATGTCTTGCCCACTGATGTAATGTTTCATCATCAGACTGATGCAATGTTTCATCATCAGATGTACCCGGCTGCACATGGAAGCAAGCTGTATCAGAGTGCAGGAGGAGAAGGTCTTGAGGCTTAGAGGCTCCAACTCTTGTTTAGTTTGCAAGAATGCGAAGGCAAAGTGCGACGAAGCTCGTCCGTGCTCTCGCTGCAAGCACCTGAAGTGAGATTCTGCATGTATGTATGACGAGCTGCGGCTGATGCGGGTGAACACGTTGGACAACTAGGAGGAGGGCCTTGAGGTGGAGGAGTGCGACGACGAGTCAGAGTCAACATCTCCAAGCATGGATGTGCTGCACTCACGGCAGGGTGAACGAGGTGGAGGAGCAGAAGAAGAGGCTACGCAAGTATGGATGAAACCGCTCCCGCATGTAGACCCACATGGTTGGCAGAATGTGGAGATAGAAAAGCCGCTTGACTTCTGGATCCGAAGCCTGTCCTTCGACAAGCCGTCGCTGCTGCGGGACCACATGAACTCCATGGGCTGGCCAGATCGAGTGCTGGCGAGGCACTGGGAGTTCGGCTTCAGCTCGCAGGAGCTGATGAACATCTTCGTCTCGCTTCCCGGGCACTGCACGCGATCGAGATCCTCGTGGCGGACCTGGTAAAGAAGCAAGGTCGAGGGCTGCAGCGGCAGCTGCTGATGGAGAGCGAGACAGTGTCTGAGCAAGATCTGGAGCTTGAGCGAGCGTTCTACAGGGAGCAGAGCCTCGGGACGGTCAAGCAGCATCTGCATCCGTCTACGGGGAAGCGAGCGCACGTGTACATATCGGATACTCTGTGCAAGATCGTCGGACTGCACGCGGAGGAGGTACTGGCGAGGATCGCGAACAGGGAGCTGTCACTGGTCACGACGGAGTTTGAGTACTTCTGCTACGTGATGTTCGGGACGTGGTTGTACGCGACGAGCCCAGGACGGCCCCTGGTTCTCCCAATGCGTGTGCGAAACC